TCTTCGAGGGCCCATGTTTGTATACTAACAGTGGATCAAAACACGCATTGGTCAGTATTCCAAGTTACAGAAACATATAGGGGGCCATATCGATAGGGTAAGGCCTTTGGCAAGTTTCGTCAATCTGACGACGGATTGGCATCCATAGAAGCGGGCAACAACTTACGATGTATCAGGTTTAAAAGAATACGCGATACCGGCAACCAGCAAGCTACCGACGAACCCATACGTCCATAGGCCTTCCCATCCCTCCTTGACGTATTTGTGTCCGGGCTTCACTCCCCAAAGCCATCCGGTTGGAGGATCGTAGTGGTTACCATGGGCGCCACTGAGTGAGCTCTGCGTGGAGAACGGCTGGCGATGCTGTGGTGAGCGAAGGAGGCAGCGAGACCGTAGAGGAAGAGAAGGGGGTCGGGCGGGCATTATCTGGCTTCACTAAATTGGATGCGGCTAGGTCAAGAGGGAGGGGGTCTCAAAACCGATATCGAGGAGACAAGGTGAATCTAGGCGACGAGGATGTCGCCGGGAGGGGGGAGAAAAGAACAGAGTAAGGGTCTGTCTACTTTTCTAGTGGAATAAAACAGGTTAACAAAACTTAATTGACGGGTCTTGTGGCAGATACGGTTTGATATTGTGATGAAGTTGATGCCAGTCAGTGTTGGAAACCAAGGGCGGAGGTGACGGTTGGTCGGCAATGTTTTCCCTTCAGGGACTATGATTGGTCAATATGGCGCTCGGCAGCTGGTATTAAACGCGCTACAGCCGCCAGCCACTGAAGCGCACACACAAGATACGGTCAAGAATAGTACTAGTAGTACTATTATTTATTTCCTGATTTTGTCGAATTATTTTTTTTCCATTCTACTACAGGAAGGTATCCAGCTCTGAAGCATAGGCCTTAATTGGGTGAAAATTCCCTTACAAACCTTGCGGGATGGCAATAAATGTTTCACAAATGCAAGCTGGGACATGGATTTGACTGAGCTAAATTTTGTAGGAGTTGTCTGCAAATACTCCCAGATATATAGCATACATTACCGTGACACATTGGGAATTCAAACATACTACTATGACACGTTCTGGCTGATCATACAAGTTTTCATAAGCATGGGCGAACAATCCAAGGCTAGAGAGTCCTATTCGACGAAGCAATGACCCCACCAGCAGACGTTCGTAGTAGTAGTAGTAGTTGTTGTTGTTGTTGTAGTTGTAGTAGTAGTAAATACTACGCAGTAAACAAAAGCATGTGAGAACCCAACATTGGTGGGATTTTTTGGGCCATTGTGCGGGAAACGGCCTCCCAAGGTATTTAAAACATGTGAGAATCAACAAAATATCGTCCCCTTGATAGAACCTTTGAAATTTGTCCTTGAGGCTTTCGGATGGAAGAGATGAAGGACTTTTAGTGCGTGCTCTGAGCAGCTTAGCCCAGGACACTACAGAGGACGGGTTGCCAATCTGCACGCCATGCCGAGCTAGATTGGTGTTAGTTCCGACAACTGCCGCTCCGATGATTCACCCGTAGTGTACTCCGTATGCCGAGTTTATATTTTTGGGAATCAATTTTGCAGATTTCCTCCTCTGCAGGCCTCTGCTTTGGAAGGATCGGAACGACACTTTTCTGTGTAGTTGAGCCCCCCCCGGAGTCATGTAAACCCAAGCGGGCCCTTCTAAGCATCCCCGGGCAATGACCTATTTTTAATTTCAAGAAGATTGTTGCAAGGATTCCCTGCTATAAGTACTCCGTACAGTACTTAACGCAGTTTACATAATCCCACGACGGCGACATTCCTCCAGCTGAAATTCCCGGGCAGACCTCGGTACTTTCCCGTTCGGGCGCACACCCAAAGGTTCCTGCGCCTCATTCATTGATCGGAAACATTTATACCTTCCGCCGCCCTCGGGATCGCGCATTCTAAAGTTTTCTTCTTCTTTTCTTTCTTCCTCCTGCACCGCCTTCTCGTCTATGCAACTTGGATTTTGTCTCTCATTCATCATCCTCTTGCGCGAGTAGTTTCACGCTCTTGATTCCGCCCCCTCCTTCCTTCCTTCCGTCCTTCACTCGCTGAAAAGAAAATGCCCCCCGTCCCCGAATGGGTAAAGGCTTTGAAGCCTACCGGCCCGCAGCTCGGAGCTGCTCCAGCAGGAACGGGCCAGCTCGAATGTCTCTATTGACAAACTGTCAGAGTTGCTTTTCACCAAGGAGGTGCTAGACCGACAGCAGAGGATTTTGGCCATCATGGAAAAGGAGAGCGTTTTTGATAAATCGCAAATACTTTCCATGGGCCGTGTAGAACGGTTGACAGCATCCCTCGCGAAGGCTAAGCGCATCCAACAGTTGAGGCAACAGTACAACTGGACATTCGATGAGTTTGTCACCGCCAATGACCTTCTTGGTGAACCCACACCCTACGGGCTCCACGCAAGCATGTTCTTAGTAAGTTTCCTCTTCATAATTTTCACTACAAGGCTGTTTAGGAGTGTCTGCTAATTATTTCCTAAATTGCTTTTTATAGGTCACTCTCAGAAATCAGACCACACCAGAGCAAATGAAACTTTTTCTAGAACCAGCGGAACGCTATGAGTTCATTGGCTGCTACGCCCAAACTGAGCTGGGTCATGGATCTAACGTTCAGGGTCTGGAGACCACGGCAACCTGGGACCCTACCGACAAGACCTTCGTCATGCACTCCCCGAGCCTGACGGCTTCCAATGGTGGATTGGCTCTCTAGGCAAAACAGCAAATCACGCCATTGTAATGGCCCAACTAGTTATTGAGGGCAAACACTACGGACCACATCCATTTGTCGTGCAAATCCGCCACTTGAAGACTCATGAGCCCCTTGATGGTGTCTATGTTGGTGATATTGGGCCTAAATTCGGTTACAAGTACGTTTTTTTTGTTTATTTTCCCTTCTGGTGGGTTATATTCAAGATGGCTAACATCATCATAGTACGATGGACAATGGGTTCCTTCTTTTCAACCGCGTGAAAATCCCACATGTAAACATGCTGGCAAGGTTCTCACGAGTAGACCCCGTTACAAATCAATATGTGCGCCCTGCCGCAGCTACTCTGGTCTATGGTACAATGACTTGGGTTCGATCCACAATTGTGCTGCAATCAGGCAAAGTCCTCGCCCGAGGTGTAACAATCGCCACTAGATATTGCTCTATCCGAAGGCAGTTCCAGGACCGTGATGCTATAGATAAGACGTCTGGTGAAAACCCGGTTATCAACTACAAGATGGTTCAAATCCGACTTCTTCCCCTCATTGCTGCCACCTTCGCCCTCCATTTCACCGGACGGCGAATGATGGAAATGTACGAGGAAAACCAGAGCCAAATGGCCAGTGGCGGTTCAGCAAAAGCAGGAGCTCTTCTCCTCGCAGATCTCCACGCGACCTCCTGCGGCCTCAAGGCCCTGGGCAGTACAACGGCAGCTGAAGGCTTGGAAGTATGCCGACGTGCCTGTGGTGGACATGGCTATAGGTAAGTGTCGACCCCTTTTGATACCGATTACCTTAATATGTTTCACAAATGCTCATTTCCCTATAGTAGCTACAGCGGTATCGGTACATGGTATGCCGATTATTTGCCAACCACCACATGGGAAGGCGACAACTACATGTTGACACAACAAGTAGCACGATATGTAAGTCCTGCTCTATTGCAACTTTCTACCGCAACGAAAGAGCTGGAATATACTGACTAATTTGCTTTTCAGCTCCTCAAATCAGCTAGAGCTGTTTTGGCTGATAAAGCCCCTGATAACGACACATCCCGTATTCTGAAAAACTATCTTCGCCGCCAAGATATGGGAGCTGCATTTGACATTCTTGACAACGACGCTGACATCGTAGACGCCTTCGCCTGGCGTGCCGCTCACCTAACTTTCGACGCGCTGAAGCACCGCGATGTTGAAAAGCGCTCATGGAACAGCTTGCTTATTGATTTCTGGCGCCTCTCGACTGCCCACTCACAATACCTCGTTGTAAAAAATTTCTACGAAAGCGTCTCATCACCTGCCACCACCTCCGCCTTAGATCCTGACACAGCTGCAGTTCTGTACAAACTCTTCCGCCTGTATGCTCTGCATACATTGGAACGCGAAGCCTCCGAGTTCTTCACCTCCGGCGCTGTGACTATTCGTCAAATCACCCTCGCACGGACTAAGGCTGTTTCAAAACTCCTTGATGATATCAGACCCCATGCTGTTCGGCTTGTTGACGCATGGAAGTTCCCAGATTGGCAGCTTGATAGCTCTTTGGGACGGTATGATGGCAAGGTCTACGAGGATCTGTTCTACCGAGCCAGCGAACAGAATCCTGTCAACAAGATAACCTTTGACCCTTACCCATGGAGTAGCGTGTTGGTGAAGAATGAGAGAGAAAGCAAGCTCTAAACATATATTACTCTCCTCTCTCTGATGGTTTTTTTTTTACTTTACTTCATTTGTGTGTTTGATACTTTAGATCCCTTTTCCTGCGGTTCCTTGTCTTTCTCCTTTTCAAATTTTGGGTGTGGTACATTTTTTTGGTTCTATCTTTTCTTTCTATATTGTTGACATTTCCCCGCTCTTCATTTTGTTCACCTGTTTTTTTCTCTCTTGTATCACGCTTACACCCCAATTTTACCCCCACCACCATCATGACGCATAGAACTGTAAAACAAAAAGATAGACTCTATAGATTTAGACGTGTAAAAGCATACACAAAAAGGCTTGGGAAATAGAAAATCGAAATAGGCGCATCGGCTCAAATTTTCAACTTCAATACAAGTCCTTCCACCTCGACGAGACTCGTAATCCATTTGTAATGAAATTCAAGCCGAATTTATGAACACTACTAGCAACGCATCTGAGATATTATTGTATGACACAACAACCACAATCGCCAGTATCATTGATTTGATGTACGGAGTAGTTGGTATTTCGGTATTCATTTTTGACATGTGTTTAATATCTAACACTAAGTTTCACTGCACCATCAACAACCAGCAGCATCATTGGTCTAGTGGTAGAATTCATCGTTGCCATTTGACTCCCCGAGAAATCCTCTTGAAGTAGTCATGTGATCCAACTCGATGAGGCCCGTGTTCGATTCACGGATGATGCAATAAGAATTACTTTATATTTTTGATTTTTTTGTATATCATGTCTTCTTCCTTTATTCAACAATGTTCAGGGGATGGAAAGCTGAAATTTTCCGCATATGGAATATAATATCCATAGCATTCTTCAGTACTCCGTAGAATAAAGGAAGAAGACATGATATACAAAAAAATCCAACTAATAAAGTCCAACACCAGATCAACGAAACACTAAAGTATTAACGATTGTTATTACCAAATTTCCCGCTCGCTCACCCCCCTTCCATCGTCAACATTATCATCATCATCATCATCATCGTCATCAAATAAGCCCAGACACCAACCCCACCCCCAATTACCCCCTTTTCCACCCCATTCTCCGGCGCCATTTTCCCCACCACTGCCGTCCCCATCCCTTCAGCTGAAACACTACATCTAGCTTGCTCACAAACAAACCCATCTGGACAACACCCACCACCTGCGCTAGCCGCACAACTTGTCCAACCACCCGCACACCTCCTCCCCGCCTGCCCGCCAGAGGAGGAGGACCCAGAGGCATTGGGATCCACGGGTACAACGATTGTGGCTCCATTGCCATCCACGATGGTGGTTGAGGAGATTGTGGGGCAGGAAGTTGGGTTGCAGTCGCGGCCCGTACGACAGCAGCCGCCGTGGTAGGCCGCGCTGCAGGCATAGAATCCCGTCGGGCAGCCTGTTATAGTTGGTGTTGGGGGTGGGGGTGGGGCTATGGTTGTGGTGGCTATTGGGTTCGAGGTAGGGCGTAAAGGAGGGTTTACAGGTTTTGTGTTTGTTGTTGTTGTTGTTGGCGGTGATGATGGTGGTGGTGGTGGAGGCAGTGCAGGGGTAGCGGTGACGGTTATTGTTGAAATGTATATACCTTGTGTTGCTCAGCGTCAAGAAGATAAAGCAAGAAAAAGGGATAGAGACTAGAGAAAAGGGAAGAGAATAACATACACCCCTGATCCACACATGAGTATCCCGGGATACAACACCCACCCCCCGGGTTATGAGGACATGGACGGTACCCCTCCGCACACTCAATTAAGTCACCTGAACAGGTGTCTCCCACCCTGCAGCATCCCACATCTCCCAACCCCGTATCCTTCACAAATATGCACTTGCTTCCGGCCCCACAGCAGCTATTCGGCCTGTTGATGGATATGCACGGCTCCGTATCCGCAGGACAGTTGAAATTTCTCCTCCCAAACACGAGGGCCCCATCTCGTAGCCACCATCTCGATAAGGAGCGGCCAAGGAGGGGGAATGACATGCCCCCACGTCCTCCTCTGTTATCTTGATTTTCTCCCCCTTCATCTGCTGCATTTCCATGCAAGGGGAACGGGGGGTATGATGATGCGATTGAGATATTCAGCATACCATCTCCCAAACCCCCTATCTTTTGATTATCAGGGCGATTAACCGCCCTATGTTCTCTTAATCCACCAAATTCTTCATCATTCCCCCTTCGGCCCCTGCGATTAGACTGCTGTTGTTGTCCTACAGCAGCACTTCCGCCAACAACAACATCATCAAAATACCAGAAATCTAACCAAAACTTCTCCCCTTCGTCATCAGTCATTTTCCTCACCCCTACCGGTGACTGTCCAGCGAGTCGGTTCTGAAACTCCACATCGCGTTGCGCTAGTGCAGCATTTGATATGTTATTGTTAGCAATATCAGTTGCGGCATATGTGAACGATGTTATCAGTTGTAAAGCGGATAGACGGAGGACGAGGAAGCGGTGGGAGGGAAAGGGAGCGGGGAGAATTTGCATCGGGCCGTCTATCGGGTAACGAATCGGCTCGTTCCCGATGTTTAGAAGCTACTAGTTTGGAGCAGGAGAATGCTCGAGCCGACTAGGATGAATGAGTAAATGATACAGGAGTGTAGTCTTCAGCTTACTAAGGGAATGGGAGAATTAATATATTTAAGCGATGTGTCTTGAGGGATACGTACGGAGTATACTTAAATATATTCCCTCTAAGTATGATGTTGCGGCCAATTTGCTCTCCACATGGTCAGCAGGGGTGTTGGAGCAACATAAAATGTTCCACCCGACTGTTGGTTGTTTACGAATCTCCCACGCGGTCACACAGTTAGTATTTAATTGGCAGTAAAACAATTTGATTTGTTCAGTTGGAAAGTTGGCTGGAATGTGGAATAAATAATAACAATAATATCCTGATTTCTGGGGGTTGGCGTAATTATATTATATAGTATTCTTCCTAATCAGGTACCAGCCGTACAAAAGTAGATCTGCGCTTTTCGATACTATTTTGTTGTATGTATGTGGTGCTTATAACGCCGCTTGCTTCCCATAGATTTATTTCTCATACGGAAATATTGACCTCATTCGACATGGTTCTATATAGGCTGTATAGAACCGGGAATTTTTTGGCAGAACGATATTGAGTGTTGACAGAGTAGTAGCAGTTTCAAGGACAACGCCCAAGCATCGACAAATGGGGCGGAGAGATTAATGCTAGCTATTCAAAGCAAAATAGGCACGAAAGCTTTGAACTAACCCAAGCAATGACGGTAGATTATATGGATCTCTGGGGATGTCCTTTTCAACATTAGGGCTATGACTTCAGTCTAGTGTGGAATAAAAGTTGAGCCAACCCCCCACTGAACTGTTCCAACAACGAAGAAACATGTTTTAAACCAGCGAATCCAACACTGGAATAAGATATGATTGGGTTACAACCATGGTTAGGGCGTTGCGGGGCCAGGGCTTAGAATTAGGGTTACGCAGTAGTACCAAGGGCCAAGGGCCACCAAAATCTGAAAATCAACATCATGAAAAGGATGATCACGGATCCAGATAGGAACAAAAGTTTTCCGGCCACGCGGTGAATGGTTACATGATAATTAGTATCTAAAACAGGAGATGAATGGAGCTGGCTTGCATCATGACGCACACGATATCCATCTTCGCTAGTTAAGTTAGCTTGCTCTCAACCAACCATAAATAACTGGGAGAACTTGCTTCAAGTTCTTTTGCTATTCAAATACTTTTTCTTCATGCCAAAAAATGCTCGTCAGTCCAACGCCTATGGCAAGACGAGGAGACATCTAAGTGGTTTTAGAGTTTTCTGCCAAAGGACCAATGCTTGATGGAGCGTGGGGGTTATTTTAAACAGTGTCAGAACAGTTGAGTCATGTACAACTTTTCCCCAACCACGTTTAATTGTGTCCGTGGATAATCGAAGTGTTACAAAAGTAGAAATGATGGAACCAATCCTTGACTTTTTGGAGTTTCTTTGAAAGTCTCCTTCTCCACCTTTTATCGGTGCTGTGAAGCCCCATTATTGCATACCCTGATACTCAGTTTCGTCGGGGCCCGGTCGGCGTCTCAATATCCTCTTAAAACAGCAGCTTCATTTGAAGCTCTCTGATGTTGAGATTCAGAAAGGCGTTCATTTGCCGCTCTTATATAATTCTCTCTCATATCCATTGTCCACTCAAGAGCATTTCGATATGCGTATGCTCTCTGTCGAGAGGTTTCAGGGTTCCCAAACACCCTGAGTCATTATATATTCAGGGCAGCCTTCCGCATCTCTTGGTTCTGGAAGACGGATTTGAGTATAACTTGAGTGTACCACCAATGATGACTTGATGTAATAGTATAAGTCTTGTTGTCATAGGTCAATTCATCTTGCTGGGATGCCTGAAGCGAATGCATGCCTTGAGCTTCTGGTGCAGCATCGAAAAAGCTTGCCGAGCAGCCACAGGGAGGGACCTCATCAAATCCTTTTGCTTAGAAAAAGAAGTTTGGTAACATTGGAAGATCATGCTGAGTTGATGGGATAACCTGATTTTGCTAAACTCTTTGTGAATTTGGCAACCAAGTGGTTCAGGACGAGCGTCTGAGAAATAATCTGGCTTGGCCTGAGTGAGGGTGCCATCTGTCAAAGAAGCAAGGTTATTGTTATCATCTTTCAATGCAGTTGGGATCAATCATTTTGCCTCCAATGACGGGAATCACAAAAGTGATAAGCTGACTTTCCTTGTGATGCATCTGCGTCTGCTTGAGTAAAATTTTCAAAGGCCTTCTCAGAGTACTATGATGGTGACAGTGAAACTCGGGGTTGGGCCAATGTGCTTAGTGTTGGAATCGTTATTATGGGGAAGACTGTGTAGGTTCAGCGCCGTACATACCGATTGATGTTTCTCTGTGCTAAATATGTGAGAAGTCGCGATTGGAGAGAACTGAATCAGGAAGTTCGGTATAAAGCAACCTTGAAACATTTGTTTATTACAAAGAAGAGTAACAAGAATAACAACAAGCTAATCTAATTTCGTTCGTATGTCGTAATGATTAATGAATGGGTCCCGTCAAATTTCATCTAAATCAATCCTCTCGTCTCAAACGCTACGCTACCTAACAACAACAGAGCCAGCCAGCCAGGCCTTCGCTTGCCAGAGTAGCTATATAGAGTTTCGTTCACACACCCGAAAATTAGATTTCAAAAAAAGAAACAAAAGAAATAATGAAAGTACAACAGATAGAGAGTTTGGATTGCGTAATAATGGAGAGGACAAGGAGAAGAAAATAAAATGCTTCTGGGTATCGATAACAACAAAATATGTAAGAGAGGAAAAATAAAGGTACGAAAGAAGAAATAGGAAACAAGAAAGAAAAAAGAAGCGTTGCGTATCCAAGTATATAAATCCCTCAATAAGAAACAATGAATAGGGTAAGACGACGTTAGGTTTGAGAAAGGGGGAAAAGCCAAAATACCAAAGAAAAACTTTCATGGCAGCAACCGCTTGCTAGAAACAGAGGCTTATATAAAGACACAGCGCTATGACACGGGCTCTAGAACTGGTTTGTGTGCGATCGGGTATTTCATATTAGCATTAACATAAAATCCAAAACGGTGAAAATGGAAAAGGGAAAAAAGGGAAATGAAGAACGAAGATTGGAAAGGCAAAGAAAACTTCTATGAAGCGGAAAAGAACACAAAACTAAAATATACCCAGTTATGATGCGGCCCTTCTT